AGTTCCACATCAGCTGGGCCCATTCAGACTCCTCCCTGGTTTCTTCTCCAGGAAACATTCTTGTCCATTGCACCTCATGGGAGGGCGGGAGCCCTGCCTTGTTCCTGCCAACTGGGACTGGCACTGGCCCATGAGCTTTGGCTGAGTCACTCCGTGTACTGGAGAAGGGAATTGCAGGAGGCTCTGTTTTCATCTCCACAGTGAGGACGCTGGGTCAGATCCCCTTTGTCAGCAGTGTACGGTCTTTTCGCTTTCTGTACAGGGAAAGCTCTCTAGGCCCCCAACGGAGAGGGGGGCTTAATTGCCAATGTAACCCCAATAGCCCCAGGCTGCCTCGTGGCTTCTCTTTCACTATATGATTTGTATGAATTTATTGGAAAACACAAAGACTTCCAGGAACTGCCAGTAAGCTAGCCAGGCTCATTTATGTTTACTGGAATCTATTTCCTTGTTCAGCTGAAATTAGTCTGTAAAAGTCTTGTTAAGACAAGCACCGGGAAAAAGGAGATTTTTAATGCATTGAAACCTTATGACAATGTTGCCAGACATATAGAATGGCAAAATAAAGAGACATAAGAAAAATCCTTCCAAAGTGAATTATTAATTTAGAACTTTCTAAAGAGTTAAAAATAACTATGCAAATCAGGAATCTAGATTGTTTTATTTAATTAAAGAATTTAAAAACAATGTCATGTGTCTTAAAAAATCGTTTGCTAATCACCATTTCTGAGTGAATGAAGGAAAAGTGACGGAAGAAGCTTGAGATGCACAGGCATCCATCCATTCAGGTTCTTCATGATCACACATTTACACGCTGGCCACAGGAAGAAAGCTTAGGTGGAGCCATTCATTTATTCAACAGACGTGTGCTGAGAAATTACTACGTGTCAGAGATAGAGAGAGGTTGGCGATACAGGAAGGGAAAACAGAGGGGCTGCTGGCAGAGAACAAAAGTTCGTGTGCAGATTAGGATATAGTAGTACAATGAGAATACAATGAAAGTTTCCAAGAAAATCTGGACAAAGCAGCATGGCGCCAGAATCTACGGTAATCTTTGAACTGAGATTGAAGTGTGAATAGGAGTTGGCTAGAGACAAAGTAAGAGGTGTGGAGAAGTGAGGAAGCATGTGAGAGGCAGGGACCAGCACAGGCAAAGTGTGCACACATAAAGAAGCATGGTACCTTTAATATCCGGCTTAAACAGGAGGCTAGAGAGGCACAGATGGGGATATGTGGCAGTCCTACCTTTTTTAAAAAAATATATTTTATTGATTTTTTACAGAGAGGAAGAGAGAGGCATAGAGAATTAGAAACATCAATGGGAGAGAAACATCGACCAGCTGCCTCCTGCACACCCACCACGGGGGATGTGCCCGCAACCAAGGTACATGCCCTTGACCGGAATCGAACATGGGACCTTTCAGTCCGCAGGCCGAACCTAACCGGTTTTGGCAATCCTACCTGTTTTTGCTATGGGAACAGATGTGATGTAGGTAAAACAGGGCTGGATGACGGGTTGAGTAGGGAGACTGTGATCAGACCACAAACAGCTTTAAGACCTTGCAAGTTTTGCCAGACAATAGGTCACTGGGCCCAGAGTGCATTAGGGGTCCTGGATTATAATAGGGGGACCTGTTTTGTTTTATTCCGTCACAATGAGGCTTCTCTTGAATCGCCAGCATTTCTAGTCAGAATACTTTGGGGCAGTGTATCTGATCCTTTTCCCACTCATCTGCCAGGAGGAGGCCCATGAGAAGACCACAGTGTCTATAAAAGGGCTTAAAGCAATATAATTTTTTCAAAGAATTCTGTTCTGTTTTGAATTTACCAAATCAAGTATCAAAATATACACAGATTTATTTCTAACTTAGCATTGACTTGTATGGATAGAAGATGAGTAGAGAGAGAATATTTTACTAGATATGTGGGGTAGTCTTAAAATATATATATATTTATAATATTTATATTATTTATTTATATATATATATATACACACACACACACACATACACACACACACACACACACACACACACACTTCCTTAAAAAAAGGAATTAAATATAATGAAAGTGTTCCTCTTTCAAGCCCCAATTAAGTAGCAGCTACTTTAAGGTATGTATCCTTTTAGAAATTATCTATGTATACAAAATATGTGGGTGCTTTTAGTTTTCTTTGAAATATAAATAATTCTATGGATTTATATTAAGAAGCACAAACCCAACAAATGAGTACTAAGCCCACAGCTGCATTTTCCAATCACGTACAATTCCCAGTGTCTCAGGGACCGTCTCTAATTGCCCTCCGCGCCTGGCTTTCGGATCGCAGGAGAAACAGCCTTCCGCAAACCAGCAGTGGAGATTGCGAGGCCAGTACCACTCTTCAGCTCCTGCATCTTGAACGGTTCGGCTCTTTCTTCCACATCTATTACAGTGCCTTACCCATTCCAGGCATTGAATATGTACTATTAACAACATGCATTCCAATAATCATATGACTCATTACATTAACAGAACCCACAGATATTAAGAAACTGGGTAGATTTACTGAAAGTAGCCATTTAGGTGTCCAGTGATTGAAATTATGCCTCCTTTTCTTGAGAACTGAATTTCCCCCCCCTTTAAGAAATCAGATAAAGACTTTAGTTGGTAGGCTTCTCTCGCTAAATGTCTCCTAGAAATCCAGCAACGAAGTTCAGAGCAATGGGAGGATACCTGACCATGCACAATGTCATTACACGGACTCAGACATATATTGGTCTTCAAGTGCAGTAACAAAGTGGTGGCCTACTTTCCTGCAGAAAGCTAGGAATTAATTCCATCTTCCTGTTCTTGAATTTTAGCACTGCCATTTATTAAACACCTGGGGGTCTCTTTAAAATTTTTTTAAAGATATATTTTTATTGATTTATTTTTATTGAGGAAGGGAGAGGAAGAGAGAGATAGACACATCAATGATGAGAGAGAATCATTTTTGGTGCCTCTTGCATACCCCACACTGGGGATTGAGCTTGGAACCCAGGCATATGCCCTGTCTGGGAATCAAATCTTGACCTCCTGGTTCATAAATCAATGCTCAACCACTGAGCCATGCCGGCAAAGCGAGGATTCTCTTTTTAAAAAAAAATACATTTTTATTGATTTTAGAGAGAGGAAGGGAGATGGCGATAGAAACATTGATTGGCTGTCTCCTGCATACCCCATACTGGGGATCATGCCTGCAACCCAGGCATGTGCCCTGATCAGGAACTAAATAGGTGACCTCTTGGTGCATAGGACAATGCTCAACTAACTGAGCCACACTGGCCAGGCCTCAGAGGATTTTCTTAATATCTATGAGCTTTAGTTTCTCTGTGCGAAATAAAAAAGGATAATAAAACCTTCCTTGCACAATTAGTGGAAGAATTATAAGAGATGGCGTTTGTCAGGCATGAAGTGGGCATAAAATATAGTGGTTGAAGGACAGGCCCTGTAGCCAAACTTCTTCAGTTCAAAAACCAGCTCCACCAGTTATGCTGGATGACAATGGGCAAATTACTCAATCTCTTACTATTCCTCAGTTTCTTATCTATAACATCACACAAGTAATTGTATTACTTTAAGCATTAAGATCATGTATTTAGTATGGTTTTGGGTACTGACAATGATGGTTGAATGGATATTTGCTGTCATTATTATGACTGTAGGCCCTCAATAAAACTTTCCTTTCTCTTTTACCTTTCATTCTTCTCTTTGACTCATCTATAATAAATCACCTGAAATAAAATTCTAAGGCTTTGCCTTTTCTGGATTATGAAGTTAGAGACGGAAGGACTAAAGGTTGCATGTTGCTAGGAGCTGACTGCATCCTCCCCAAACCCATCTGGTGAAGCATTAACGCCAATGTGACTGTATTTGGTGGGAGGGTCTTTAGGAGGTAATTCAGGTTAAGTGAGGCTCTAATGGTAGAACCCTAATCCTACAGGACTGGTGGCCTAAGAAGAGAAAGAGAAATTTATCTTCTCTCTCCTCCACATAAGCATACAGTGAGAGGACAGCCACCGGCAAGCTAAGAAGCAAATCCTCTCCAGAGCCCTCCCATCTGGGCCGCAACCTGGGAGTTCCAGCCTCCGGGACTCTGAGATCAGACATGGCTGTTGGTGAAGCCACCCTACTGGCATTTCCTATGGAAGCCGGGGCAGACTAAGATACCTGGTTTCTTTGCATCTTCACACTGGCTTCTTGAAAATTTATTTTTAACAAGTTTACTACACCTCAACAGTAGCATTTCAACAAGTGGGGAATGTTGCTGAAGCTGCATGTTCTTCAGGATACAGAAAACATATAAAAAATGATGACGAGAGTGAAGAACTTGGTAACCGAGCTGAGATATTTGGTTTGACTACAGTTCTCACAACTCAGATGTAACCCTCCAAAAACTTCTTGCGTTGCTGGGCCACTGCAAACACTGCACAGCAGAAGTCTGTGTGCAAACGGGGTGCCTGAGCAGAGAAGCCCATTAACATTATTAATATTAACAGTGAGAAAATAAATCACAACATATAACCACAGTGTAAAAGGGAAGTATGTCATCTTTGAAAACAAGTAAGCAATGGTTCATTTCACAAATTGACTCAAAACCATATATCTTCCAAGGGTGGCTGAGGAAAAAGTTTGGGAACAGGAATTAAACAACTTCCCTACGTGGCACAGTTAACAATCTGATGATGCTGGGACTGTGGTCCCTGCAGTCTGGCTCTAGATCTGAGCTTTTGACAGCATCACAAAGCCCACAGGCATCGACAGAGAGAAGTTCCCTCACGATGATCCGGATAGTTTACCCTGGGCCAAGTGAAACTGAGAATAGATCAAAACTTTTCCCTATCTCTCTGTAGGGCACTGATGTGAACAGGAGCTCCCCCCGCCCAATCTAACACAGTGAGCATCACTCCCCAACAGCATTGAACATGATAAAGAATATGTTTCATAAGCAGCAGCTTATAGAGTGAATACGGATGTATTACCTGCTGTCAATAATCATTACATTGGTGGGTGGAATCCCCAACACATCACAGCTCTGTAAAAGTTCTTTCTTACGAATCTCCCCTTGATTGTAGTAATTCCCTGAAAATGACAAAACACAATGGAAGATTTAACAGAGACTTATGGGTTCACTCATTCTTACATCATCTTGTTCCTCATAGGATTTAAGCTACCTGAAAAATTTGTGCTTATGATAAAAAGCTGAAGAAAATACAACATTAAGATTATAATCAGAGGAGGAACCAAGATGGCGGCATAAGTAAACACCTGAACTTGCTGTCTTGCACAACCACATCAAAACTACAAGTAAAAGACAAAATGGATATCACCCAGAACCACGGAAAGCTGGCTGAGAGGATGTTCTACAACAACAAGGAGAGAGAAAAGCACATCTAGACTGGTAGGAGGTGCAGAAGCGCGGAAGAGCGAAGGTAAGGAGGCGCACACGGGAACTGGGCTGGCGGGAAACAGAAACTATATCAAATGTTTACATCAGTTTCAGAACTTAATGAAAAGAATTTGATACATAACTGATGGAGGATTTGAGGGTCAAACAGGGAGCAATGAAGTGACCCAAAGATTAGCAACAGCAAGTAGTGACACCAAACCTGGGTTGGAGAGATAAAGGAAGGAGGCAGTGTTACTGGAGTCCAAAGTCCTGGGTCCCTGAAAAGAGCTGAAACCGAAAGAGGTAAACCTCTTCCTTTATTTATTTTTTTCTTTTTCTTTTTTTTTCTTTTGAGAGCCAAATTTTTATTTATTTATTTATTTATTTATTTATTTATTTATTTATTATTTTTTTAAAATAAATTTTTATTGTTCATATTATTACAAATGTTCTTTCCTCCCCCGCCCCCTCCATTGCTCTCCTCCATCAGGTTCCCACCCCACCCTCTGCCCTTTCCCCACTCCCCATTGTCCTCATCCATAGGTGCACAGTTTATGTTCAGTCTCTTCCCACATCCCCCTCTCCCTTTTTCCCCAAGAATCGTCAGTCCACTCCCCTTCCATACCTCTGATTCTATTATATTCGACAGTTAATATTGTTCATCAGATTTTTTTTTTTAATTTCCTTGGTTTTTATTTTTTATTTATTTTTTTTCTTTTGAGAGCCAAATTTTTTATTTTATTTATTTATTTATTTAAAATAAGTTTTTATTGTTCATATTATTACAAATGTTCCCCCCACCACCACCACCATTGCTCTCCTCCACCAGGTTCCCACCCCACCCTCTGCCCTTTCCCCACGCCCCATTGTCCTCATCCATAGGTGCAGTTTATGTTCAGACTCTTCCCACGCCCCCCTCTCCCCTTTTCCCCAAGAATCGTCAGTTCACTCCCCTTCCATACCTCTGATTCTATTATATTCAACAGTTTCTATTGTTCATCAGATTTTTTTTTTAATTTCCTTGGTTTTTAGATTCACTTGTTGATAGTTACGTATTTGTTGTTCATAATTTTTATCTTTATTTTCTTCCTCTTCAGCAATTCATATAATAGTGGTTTGGCGGTGATGACTTCCTTCCTTCCTTCCTTCCTTCCTTCCTTCCTTCCTTCCTTCCTTCCTTCCTTCCTTCCTTCCTTCCTTCCTTCCTTCCTTCCTTCCTTTCTTATTAGTGAAGCTCTTTATCTGACCTTCGATTCTGGGTGATAGTTTTGCTGGATAGATTATCTTTGGCTGTAGGTTCTTACTATTCATCACCTTGAATATTTCTTGCCATTCCCGTCTGGCCTGCATGGTTTCTGTTGAGAAATCAGCTGACAATTGTATGGGCGCTCCTTTATAGGTAACTACCTGCTTTGCTCTTGCTGCTTTTAATATTCTCTCTTTGTCTTTTGCTCTTGGAATTTTAATTATGATTTGTCTTGGTGTGGTCCTCTTTGGATTCCTTTTGTTTGCAGTTCTATGAGTTTCCTGGACTTGTAAGTCTAATTCTTTCACAAGGTGGGGGAAGTTTTCTGTCACTATTCCTTTCAGTATGTTTTCGATATCTTGCTCTCTCTCATCTTCTGGGACCCCCATAATTCTGATGTTGGTTAGCTTGAAGTTGTCCCAGAGTTTTTTTTAGATTATCTTCAACTTTCTGGATTCTCTTGCCTTCTTGCTTCTGCGGAGGAGTGTCTTCTGGCTCTTTATGTTCCAAATCTTTGACTTGATTCTTGCGATCTTCCATTCTGTTTTTAGGACTCTGTATTATATATATATATATAATGCTGTTACTATTTTATTTTTAAATAAATCTTTATTGTTCAGATTATTACAAATGTGATTCTCTTCCCCCCTCAATTGCTCCCCTCTACCAGGTTCCCACCGCACCCTCTGTCCTTTCCCCATCCCCCATTGTCTGCATCCATAGGTGCACAGTTTTGTTGTCTCTTCCCACACCCCCACTCCCCTTTTCCCCGAGAATCGTCAGTCCCACTCCCCTTCCATACTTCTGATTCTATTATATTCATCAGTTAATATTGTTCATCAGATTCTTTAATTCCCTTGGTTTTTATTTTATTTATTTATTTCTTTCCCCAGGTGGGGTAAGTTTTCTGTCACTATTTCTTCCAGTATGTTTTCGGTATCTTGCTCTCTCTCTTCTTCTGGAATCCCCATAATTCTGATGTTGGTTCACTTGAAGTTGTCCCAGAGGTTTCTTATACTACCTTCAACTTTCTGGATATTCTTGTCTTCTTGTTTCTGTGGAGGAGTGTCCTCTGGCTCTTTGTGTTCCAAATCTTTGTCTTGATTCTTGCGATCTTCCAGTCTGTTTTTAGGACTTTGTATAATATTTTTTATTTCAGACAATGTTTTCTTCATTTCTAGTTAATCCCTTATTATTTTTAGTTGCTCTCTTTTCATATTCTCATAGGTCTCATTTATTTTATCGGCCTTTTTTAGGATATTGTTGAATAACCTTATAACTGTAGTTTTGAACTCAATGTCCAATCTTTTCTTTTCCTCTATCTCCTTCCTCTGTGTCCTTCCACTTGTCAGCATTTTAGTTGTTTCCCTGATTTGATGGAATAACTTTGTGTGCTAGGTGTTCTGGTAGAGCCCAGTAGCACAGCATTCCCAGTTACCTGTGGTGGACAGTCTTGGTGTAACCCTTTGTGGGCTGTGTGTGCAGTCTTGTTAAGCCTTGCTTATTGTTGGTATCACTGGGAAGTGTTGATCTCCAAGCCAATTGGCTGTGAGAATCAGCAGTGTCTCAGCTAGGAGGGCTTCTGTACTCTGCTTGGATAGGGCGGGGTCTCGGGGTGGCGCAGACAATCTTTGCTTCCCTGTCAGTCTCGCCTTAGAAAAGTCCTGTTCGTGGACAGTTTCAGAAGATTGGTTGCAGGCACGCACACCTCTCAGACAAGCTTTGGATTCCGACCAGTCCCTCCTTAGAGAAAGCCAGCCTCTGGGAGAGTTTCTGTGCTCAGTTTGGATGGGGCGGAGTCTCAGGTTGATGCAGACAAACTTTGTTTTCCCTTCGGCTCCTCCCCAAGTCCCGCAGTAATGGCCTCTGGCTTCACCCACCTCCGAGAGATCTCTGCCAACTGTCTGACAGTCTGGCCTCTCCCTGTCTGGGGCTGTCTATCAGAGCAATAGGCTGATTCTGTTTTCCTCCCGAACAAGAAAGCCAGCTGAGCGTTAGCTGTCCGCCCTCTCTGCATGCTGGGAGTAAGCCAGCGCCTTTTTGCGCACACAGTTCTCCGTACCTTCACAGTTCCTGAGGTTCAGCGTGCCTTCTCTCTCCTTCCCAGATGACAGAGCATCCTCTCAGCTAACTGTCCGGCGCTTCAGGGCAATGCCTCCCCTATTTTTCAGTTCTAAATTCAAATTTGTTGTGGTAGGCTGAATTCGGGTGTCTACCCTATGCCACGATCTTGGTTTCTCCTCCTCTGTATAATATTTTTTTATTTCAGACAATGTATTCTTTATTTCTTGTTGTCCCTTATCATTTCTTGTTGATTCCTTATTAATTCTAGTTGATCCCTTTTCATATCCTCATAGGTCTTATTGATCTTTTCTAGGAAATTCTTTTTTTTTTCTTTTTCTTTTTTTAAAATCAATCTTTATTGTTCATATTATTACAAAGGTTCCTCATTTCTTCCCCCCTCCACCAGGTTCCCATCCCACCCTCCACCCCCTCCCCATCCCCCATTGTCGTCATCCATACGTGCATAGTTTATGTTCAGTCTCTTCCTCCCTCCCTTTCCCTGATAATAAATCCCTTTTCAGATAGTAAATCAGTTACTTAGCATTTTCTCATATCAATAATACCTCCACATGCCCAATGATACACTTCACACAAAAGACATTTCCAAATAGGTCAACTAGCCTCATCCAGGCCCCACCAAAGGCACTCACAGATCAACACCCCAGCCCTATACTAACTCAGCACATCCAGATCTAAGCCTTCATCACTTGATTCAGCAGACCCTCAAGTTCCCACAAAAGTTTCCAGACATGTCTGAGAGGCAGCCGTGGGGCAAGGGCAGGCGAGGAGCGAGCTGTGCCTTGCCTGGCTGCTCCGGGCTTGGCCTCTGTTGCTCTGGTTCGTTCAACAACCAGCTACTCCGGGTCTGGTCACTGCCGCTCCTGACCTAGTTGCTCTGGACTTGGCTGCTGCTGCTCCGGGCCTGGCCGCACCCGACCCGGCTGCTCCGGGCCTGGCCGCTCCCAGCCTGGCAGCCGCTGTTCCGGGCCTGGACGCGCCAGACCCGGCTGCTCCCCTGGGCCTGGCCGCTCCCAGCCTGGCAGCCGCTGCTCTGGGCCTGGCCGCACCAGACCCGGCTGCTCCGGGCCTGGCAGCTCCCAGCCTGGCAGCCGCTGCTGCGGGCCTGGCCGCACCAGACCTGGCAACCGTTGCTCCGGGTCTGGCCGCACCAGACCCAGCTGCGCCTGGCTGCTCTGGGCCCGGCTGCTCCGGGTCCGGCCGCTCCGGGCCTGGCTGCTCCCAGCCTGGCAGCCGCTACTCTGGGCCTGGCCGCTCCCAGCCTGGCAACCGTTGCTCTGGGTCTGGCCGCACCAGACCCAGCTGCTCCGGGTCGGGCCACTCCCAGCCTGGCAGCTGCTGCTCCAGGCCTGGCCGCACCCGACC